ACTCCTTTGCGCCCAGCTTGAGCGCATCTTCCTTTTTATTTGGGGAATGCGAGATGACTGTGACCTCTGCGCCCAGAGCATTCGCCCACATGACTGCGAAATGGCCCAAGCCGCCCAAGCCCACAACTGCCACCTTCTTACCCGGACCGACCCCCGCCCGTACGAGTGGACTCCACGTGGTCAATCCCGCACACAGCATGGGAGCGGCCAGATGTGATGGTATAGCATCGGGAATGGGGAAGACGAAGTATTCGTGGGCGCGAATGTGCGAGGAGTAACCTCCCTGGGATATAGTCTCGTCCGGGTCGACCTCTTTTGGGTAAGGAGCACCATATGTGTCGACCAGGTGTGGGCAATAGTTCTCGTTGTCACTCTTGCACTGAGGGCATTTGAGGCAAGCCCAGATCTGAGCACCGACACCCACACGGTCGCCGACCTTGACTGTCTTTACGGCGTCTCCGACTTTGACTGCGTGCCCAACGACCTCATGGCCCACACAAATAGGCAGCGGAGCTTCACCCCATCCACCATTGATGGTGTGTACGTCCGAACCGCAGACACCACAGCACTCGATCTTGATATCAATGTCGTGGTCGCCAAACTTCTTGGGTTTGAACTGCGGTGCGGGTTAAAGAGGTTCCTGTCGGGGGTTCAAGGGGAAAATCTACCTCTTGTTTCTTGAATTCAGTCCATTTCTTCTGGTCCTCGATCATGAACCCTTCAAAGGTATCGGGGTAGCCCATGGTCGTGGCGTGGCTTGGTACGTTTTGGGGTTGGTAGGTCAATTTGAGGAAGGAAGGCGATCACAAGTATTCAAAAAGGGCGGGCTGGAAGAAGAAAAAAAATATTTTTTTTTCTCTCGCCTCCGGGTTTTATTTTATCTTTATTTTTGAGTGGAAAAGAGAGAGAAAAACGGATTGAATTTATCCAGAGACGCAAAACACGCAACGCGCGCGGGGCAGAGTCCCAGTTGTCATTGGGAGTTTGACCGATGACATGACATGGGGTTGGGGGGAGTCGGTAAATAGGCTATGAATGATGCAAATCAATCATTCCACACACAAATCGTGACGTTATCGACAACGGACGGGGACAATCCAGCCCTCGACACCTATTAGATACCTACCTACTCTGTACCTACCTTGGGTATTGGGTACCTACCCACCCCACAGCCGGAGTATACTGCCGCCATCGCCATCGCCGCCACCCTCGCCGTAGCCTTGGCCATCTGAGGATTCCAGAAAAGGATAGAGAGTTTTCTAACAAGCCCAAAAGCCATACGGGAGATGCGGCAGTGCTCCGGCGAATCATGCCCTCATTGGGCTGGTCCTGCTGCTGCGTCCAACTCGTCCAACCGGCCATCTTACCGAAGTTGACCGATTGATACCCCTCCTCTACGAGGTACACGTCGAGCATGTGCCAGTGTACGCCTGGTGCTGCTACTACAGCAGGGCAGGCACCCATACTACTGCTGAGAGGCTCTCCTTCCTTGAGCGGACAGTGGCCTTTCAAAGCGCCTTACTGCTGTCCGCTGGGCAAGCATTTTCGGTATGTTGATACCCCGAACGTCTCGTCTTGGCCTTGTACTATATCGAGGGAGAGGAAATCATGGCCCCCCTCACTATCCCCCACGCCCCCAATGGACCCCCAACAAAGAGACAGGAAAACACCGATAGTGTACCACTCAACTAACAGCTGCGAGGTACAAGTCAAGAATACTCGGTCAAAATCCTGGGATTATCACCATATGTTCCCATGTCTAAGAAGTAGTCGGACGATATCGCTATCGCAAGTATCTTTACAGTATTGTTACAGGTTCTAATCCTCTTTATCCCACAGATCCGACAGCAATCACTACTCATCGTCGTCCTCGTCGCCGTCCACATAATTCACAGCCTTCTTCTTAGCCCTCCTACCGCTCAGAGTCCGCGTTGGTGCTCGCCGATTGACTTTGACAACCGCACTGACCTCCTCCGCATCAGTGAGATCCGGCATCTCGAGGTCTGATTCCGCTTTCTGCTCTTCCTCGTCCAGAGCCGAGTCTTGGTCGCTCGTACTCGGCGTCAACACCGTCTTATTTGTGCCCTTCGTATTCTTCATTCCAGTACCCGAGCGAGGTGCCCGGACCGGCTTCTGCTTCTTCGTCTTCGCCACATCATACACACTCTGTGTCTTGGCAGCATTGGGCGTCGCCCTCGGATTCACATCCAGGCCGGCCAGCTCAGAAACAGTCGACTTGGCTGTGGACGCTGGCGTATCTCCCTCTCCTTCTGCGGATGCTTCCCTCGCTGCCTGCCACGCAGCCTTTTCGGCCCGTCTCAGTGCCGCCCTCTCGGCTGTTGTCTTTGCTTTTGCTGGATCTCGAGGCTTGACTTCTCGTTTCTTCGGTCGCAACCATTCCTCCATGCCTTGTGGCCAGTAGACGCGTCCTTCGGGACCACCCATACTGATCTCGGAATCTGGCACCAGAGGTGGCGGCTGTGCTTTCTCATCTGCATCGTCATCGTCGTCGTCATTGGCGATCGATGCTCCCTCGTCTGCTTTGGACTGGCGCTTCTTTCTGGGAGTTTTCTTCTTCTTCAGAGGCTTCCATGGCCTATTTTCGTCGTTCCGCACGTAAGGGGTGATATCATTGAAAGAATCAAACCCGGGCAACTTGAATACGCGCATCAATTCAAAGACAGCCTGTTCTTTGTCCTTGGCCTCGATCATCAAATCCATGTCCGGCGCACAGGGTGGCAGTGTTGCAGGGCGCGGATTATGTTTCCGTCGCTGTCGTGCAGTAATAGCCGATGGCACAGGTTCTGAATAGTGCATTTTCTGCGTGATACCCTTTCTTGTCCACGTAGCTTTGATCCTGTTATAAAGGCTCGTGATGTCAAGGGTCCCTTCGCGAACTTTGTCTGCATCAAATACAATATTGTGATGGTGGTAATCCAGAACAAGCGGAATATTGAGCTCCTCGCACACAGGCAGCAAATCATGCACACTGTAGCTAACATCATCATTCTCAAGAACTAGGCGGTCTTTGATCCCTTGCGACAACTTGACATAGTTCTCCTTGAATCGAGCAATAGTGGCAGCCTTGTCACCAAAGACTCCACCCATGTGCAGGATCATCACAGCGTCACGATTCAGCTGCCGCGGGAGCCTCAGAAGGTCCAGCATCTCGCAGTGGTAGTCTAGATCGCGTAGGGACGCTCGGATAACCTCTTTTCGCGGTGAGCCCAGCTGTGTGAACTGCCCCGGATGGGTCGTCAGCCGGTGACCGAGTTCAGCAGCCACGCGACCCGCTTCTGCAAGCACCTCTGAGGCGAATGGGCTAAGCTTGTACCCGTATATATCATGGCTGGCAAAGGGGAACATTTCAGACGACAACCGAAGGAACTTGATACCGTACCGATCGTTCCACCGCAACATCTTGACAATGTCCCGCGCATTGGCGAGACCCAATGCTTCCACATATTCTTGCCCCCGAGCTATGTCCGCTGGTTGATCCTTGTCAGGACGATTTTTGGTGGGATGTTCTGGCAGCTTGGGGTCTTTCAGTGGATGGCGGTGCTCGAGTATCGAAGCGATGCGACACGTGCGTGACGAGAATACTGGTGGATTTGCATTACGGAGATAGGTGTTCAGACAAGCATAACCCAGCCGGCCCTTCCAGGGTAATGGGAGGTATGAGCTGTTGACTGGGGGTGGCCGGGACAAGGCTTCCTTCAGCTCTTCGGGGTTAGCTTCCTCATCCCCTTCAGCTTCGGGATCATCTCTGTCAAGCCCATCCCCTCTCTTCACGGGAGTTGTAGGAGGGGCGACTGGTCTAGCATATGCCACAACAGGTTCGTCCACGGCTCCGACCTTAATCTTTCCCTTCCTACTTTTCGCAGTGTCAACTTCGGGCTGTTCTGCGTCTGGCGAAGCACGTAGGGCATTCGGGCCATCCTCGATCATATCATTCGTGTCTGGATTAGTGTCGACCGCGACAGGGGTGGTGGCAGAGGCTCTCCGGGAACTAGTCCGTCGATTTGATGCAGAAGCGGGTGTGGTAGAAGTCACCAAGGTGGTGTTAGCTGCCCTCTTTCGTTTAGGCATCGCATCCAGTGGTGAGGGCGAAGATCCTAGATGTAAACCATAGAGGGCGTGAGATCTAACTGTTGGGGCAATATAGTCTCTGCGAATCCCTCTTCGACGTAAACACAGACGATTGAAAAAATTGAACATGCGATGAATGTCTAGAGACTCTAAGCTTGACTCTAGGAGGGAAAAAACCTACAATACATAATGTCCCTTGCATGGTGCAGTGGTGAATCGAGTACGAGGACTGGCCAGCCAATTCTCTAATCACGACGTCATGACTTTTTGTGTCGCGTCTCAATGGGCAGCTGCGCTTCTCACACGCGACTTTTCGAGATCGATGCACGCCTGCGATGCTTTTCGATCCGGCAAGGTAGAACTCCGCCCTTACACCATCACCCGCCAATAACCAATCGTGAGCGCCTCATCTGCTAAGTGGCACACAGCTAGGCTTCCTCCCTGCACCCATCGATCCATCGAGCCATCTGAGGGGTCTCGCCCACTGCAGGGATCAATAAACGGACAAGCTTAGGTGGAACAGCTGGTGACCACCCTCGCTACTCAGCGAACTTCTCCATCCCAGTGGCAAATGGCTGCTCTGATTTGCCCTACAAGAAAACAGTCTCAATGCTCCTCCGCCACCAAACCACGAACCTGCATCCGCCCAAAGGCCACAACCGAGACCTCCTCCTCTTCCTCTAGAAATGAGCAGGACATCTTCAACTGTGGCGCAGAGTCAGTTATGATTAATGTCTTCCTCCCGTCATTTGGACTTATCGACCGGTGCCGACTCTTTCACCTGTGAAGGTCGTCCAAGAGGTGCTTGACTGATCGACTAATCGCTTATCGTTCTTGTTCGCCTTGGAAGATACGACTCCGCATTTCTTACAGCTGGGATCCCGGCTGACCTCACCATACACATCTACACAATGCCAGGGTTTGCCAGTTTTCGGAGAAAGCTTTCACGAACCAAGTCTGTGCCTGGGCCTGTCGAAGTCGCGGAAGAGAGTCGAGATCAATTGCAGCCATGGCCAAGGAAAGCGTTGTCCTTGACACCTTCCGACGAGCAGCTCGTCGCCAAACTGGCATTTACTCCCGAAACCGCCATCATCGAACGAGCGCCTCGTCGACAGACTCCGTCGGTGGGGACTAGGTGGTCCGAGCGGACAGTGTTTAACAATGTCGAGTCCGGCTTCCTCTCACTACCAACGGAGCTTTTGATGTTTCTCCAACCATACTTGAGCCCAAGTAGTGAGGTCTCCCTCCGTCATACTTGCTCGAGGTTCTTCCATCTCTATAGCACGCCATCCTTTGTCTTGACGGGGAAAGAGCTTTTCGATTTCCTCTGTATGACTGAACGGGATCAGGATCCCACTGAACTAGATAAGCTGGTGTGTAGCAGGTGTCAGATGCTTCATCTCCGGTCCACCTTCCCTACGGCAGAGATCAAACAGGAATCAACCTTGCGAGACTGTAGACAGGTCTGGCTGTGCCCACATCGTCACCTTGGTTACCAGAGGACGATCCGCAACATCAAGGCCGGGGTGGAATCACCATTTCGAGTTGAAACACTGGAGCCCTGTTCGAGGTGCAGAAACTCTATTCGCAACAGGTCTGTTGCCGACCGCCCCGAGAAAGGCACCTCTGCCATGGATCTGGAGAATCCGAAAGCCGAGTCTCTGTTGATCTCCAAGATTGCCCTTCTTCAAGCGCCATCACCATTGTATAACGCAAGAACAAGCGGAGGTAGTGGCATGTACAAAGAAGTGTTCCAGGTCAAGGATGTTTCCAGCGCTCTGTCAGGGATTGATTTCCGCCTCTGCGCCCATATGAAGCTCGGAGATCCTTACATCCTCAGCAAGTTCTGCAGAGCATGCATCAATACGCAACGGCTCCCACCTGGGGTGAAAGGCCCACCTTGTATCAATGAGTCGAAGCGAGAGTTTGGAGCCGGCCGGACTCGCGCGAAGTGCAAAGGCACCTGCTTTACTCGAGGCTGTAAAACACAATTCATGTTTCAAGCTCGCGAAAGTCTGTCACCTGACGCTTCTGGGAGGCGACAAGTCTGGCTCATTATTGTCGTTTATCGCTGGCTAGGTCCGCTCTTGAGTGCAGGACGGGATGGCACCTGGACTGACCACGCCATCGACCATCAAGAACGGAAGGAGATGCGCGTGAAATGGGCCGAGTGGGAAAAGGTAAACCGATCTGGAAGACAATGCATGCCGAATTGGAGCATCTGCCTTCTACATCCGGAAGATTCGAATTTGCGCTGAGATGAGATGTTTGGAATACACAACAATGATTTGTCCGACGCATCAGGTCGAGACAGCAACCGCGTGGAACCCGTTGCAACGGAGCACTCTGTATGTTGCTCCTGTATTTATCCTTGGTGGCTGACAACAACAATGGGGATCACCTCTTCAGAAGTTGCGATCGAATCCGACATGGACGACTTCGCAAAGCCCCCCTCGTTCATTCTGGAGCCGCCGCATCGAACGACCTCGAGAACATGAACAGTCATCTTCAACAGATGAACGCCACTGAGAAGATGCGATTTGATTTGAAAGATGAAAATAATGAGTTGGATGCATTGATCGGCAGTGCAATAACCGCGCCACGAATCACACAGGCTTGTTTCGCCGGACAGGCGATTATTGACAAACAAACTCAGATCGACATCCCTTCAAGGAAATGGTCCAGATTGGCGCTTAAACCCGCAGAAAATCCTAAATTAGCAGTTCGCATGTCCCAGGTTCCTTGAGTTTTGGACGAGGCTCGAGCCGATCATCGATTGGCTTTTTGTGGCTGCGATTGGCGACCACGTCGCCTTGCCAACAATTGCGGGGGATATTCGAGATTCTCCTCGACAATATCTACTAGCTTGGAACCTGGAGCTCGGAGTCCCATGGCAAAACCTCCTTTGCCCTTTCATGGACTGGAGGAATGTCATGCTGGGGCAGTGGATCGACAACATTCCTTGTGGTGACTTGCCCGGTGGCGCTTGAGCCTCGTCAATCCCACTTTAGCCCTGCCACGATCCCCAGCTGTATCCAGAGCAGCATGTCATCGAGCGTTGTCCAGCAGACAAGTCGTCGTACGCCATCTCCAAAAATCGAAGCTGGAACAGCGTTCCGTCAAGTGGCGATATGCAGATATATGTGGACGGGCTGGAAATATACATATACGAAGCATTGTGTCGCTCCCAAACACAAATCCATCCATCCGTGAATCAAGCCTGATCGCTTCCTTCACATCTATCACATCCATCACACTCCAACTCCTTTGCCTGACAGCAACACTGCTATACGTGTGCTCAACCTGTCTTCCATTCCTACCGCTTCGAAACGGGCTTCTCTGCCCTAAATCTTACAACCTCCTCCCCTCCCTTGTCAATTTTTTGCTTTGCCAGTTGTCCCACCGAGCACACACCATGTCCCCCTTGCTACACACTTCCCTTGCCCTCTCCCTATTATGGCTGCCTCTCTGCACTCAAGCCCATATGCAGATGAGCTGGCCATACCCCCTACGAAGTCCCCTTGATCCTGACATCAGCCCTGATGCAAAAGACTATGACATGACGTCCCCGTTGTTCGCGGACGGCTCTAACTTTCCTTGCAAGAACTACCAGAATACTCCCGATAGCTATGTCACCAAAGCAACTTACCTGGCCGGCGGTACCTACGACATGTGGTTGAACGGGACAGTCCCACACGACGGAGGCTCTTGTCAACTATCTCTGTCTTATGACAACGGAGCTACATTCAAAGTCATCAAATCCATCATCGGCGGATGCCCCTTGACACACAACTACGCCTTCACGATTCCGAGCTTTGCGCCCTCTTCCGATTCGGTGCTCTTCTCCTGGTCTTGGTTTAATCTCATCGGAGATCGCGAGATGTACCAAAATTGTGCCCGGGTTGAGATCGTTGGTGGCTCGAGCACACGGCATCGACGAGGCTTGCCGTATCGACGACAGGTTGCTTCAATGGATCGGCTACCCAATATGTTCGTGTGCAACGTGAACAACGGCTGTCAAACCATCGAGCAGCGAGAAGTGGTTTTTCCAGATCCCGGGAGCGATGTTGTCTACGGCCAGGATGCCATCGTTCCAGATCCAGGTCCGGGGTTTACCATCAACGGCGTCGCTGCTTCAACTACTTCTGATTCCCTGACCACCTCCGTCTCTACGCAACTCGATCTCGTCACGACGACTGGGACATCCAGCAGTTTGGAGGTTCCCACGTTAACAACAACGTTCACGACTCAGACTACTCGGCCCTCCTCGACTGGAACGACAACCACTGTTGGAACTACAACGGTGGACACCACTACCACATCTATGCTCGTCTCCCCAGGGGCTTTCTTCACGACCGATTCGACCACACTGAGCACCTTCTCAACCACCACCACGCCTTTTACTTCGGGAACAGGAAGCGTCGTGGATAATTTGGCTGAATCCACGACGTCTTTCAGCACATTGACGACAACCTCAACCTCTCTTGCCCCTTTCCCCCTGACTAACAGTTCAACTATTACGTCCGCCATTGCCTTGGGCACTGGTGCTGTTTTTGCTAACTCTACAGATCCTGGCGACTCTAATCTGGCCGAGTCCACGACCATTTCGATGACGACTACGACACCGACGACACTTACGACACCGACGACACTTACGACACCTACGACACTTACGACACTTACAACTATGACATCGACGACGACGACGACGACCACAACGACGACGACTCCCACGACGCTATTCGATCTTGCGACATCTTTGACAACTACAGTGACGACTCCCACGACTTCAACGACTACCGGAACGACAAGCACTATTTCTACGATGACAACAACAGCAAGCATCACACTGTCAACCACTTTTACGACATTGGTACAGGTTGCGTCTACGACCACGACCACGACCGCTACCACTTCTCCGACCACTCTCCCACTGCCTTGTGTCCCCGGAACATTTACATGCAATAGCCCTTCTAGTTTCTCTCAATGCATCTCCACCGGTGTTGGGACGACGTATACCTATATGGGTGCCGTCGCCGCCGGCATGACGTGTGTTGATGGCCAAATTATCCGCGAGAATGACGGGGCCTGCACGCCTAATGGTGCGTTGTACTGCAACGGCGAAACGTCGTTTTACCTCTGCGACCAAGGCGGGCTCGTGAAAATGGGCCCCGTCGCGCCAGGGACGATCTGTCAGGACGGTGTGATCGTCGCTGCGTGATCGGTTGTTCGAGATTCTGGAAGCTTGAATTTCATAGTTCTTGGAATGCCAGTTTTTCAAGGCACATGGGGATTGGGCGAAAAGGAAAGAGGGCGTTTATTACCTCTGGCTTAACCGGGGTATATCTTGTCCTTGTCCCTGTTCTTCCCCTTTCCCAAGGCGTTTTTGGTTTCGGCCTTTTTAATCCGGAGGGTTTCTTTGGGAACGGGGAATGGGAAATAAGATCAAGACCCAACATAGCGTGGCGCTGGGATGGATATGAAACTGGGATTGGGATTGAGACTGAGATCAACGTTGGGTAATGATTGTGGGACGGACAGACAGGATCGGACGACCTCTCACAGCTGAACTGGATATTTACCAACCACCACGACGGATCGGATCAACGAAACTGAGATTCTGGTTTCTTTGATTTTTTTTCTGGGACGATTTCTTACTTGGAAAAGTTGCGAGAGGCAGGCAGACAGCTAGGCAGGACCAGGCGCATGAGGCATGAATGAATCCACCACGTATCAAAGTGAATAATATAAGATGATATTTGAGTATTCATGTACCTCGTACACGCTCGATATACCATACAGCATACCCCATACCTCATAAGATAAATCAAAGAATGTAATGCAATACAATACAATACAATGCACGTCACATCGCATCACATCACATCACATCATGTTTGATATCCCCTTTGGTGTATACTAGTGTACGAGGTACTTAATTGCATACTATATACATACTTATATGGATGGATGTCTGGTAGACATATGTATACTAGATACCTAGGTATTATATATGTACCTACCGAGTACATAGCTAGGTATGTAAATATGTATGTATACGAGGTATACTCCCTCAGTCGCTTCGCTATATATATATATACTCTTGTCTATCTGTTCTGCGTAGGACTTTACTGCGTTGCCTCTTCTCTGTTCTCTCGCTGGCTGGCTGGTGGTTTGAATGGGCGGACATTTCTTTCCTTGGACGAATCCTCCCTCACACTCATTCGCCCACATACACACACACAGTCTCTCTCTTATACAGCGCCCTCCTGTCGCGACCATCTTTCGTTCTCTTCACAAAAGCACACACCGAATATGAAGAAAAGGCAAATCACAACGAATGCGCTTGCTCGTAAAACCATGCGCCATCAACATTGAGCACTGAACACTGAACACGGAACGGTGAGCGTACAGCATAATGTACCTCGTACTCCAAAGCAGGCAGAGGAAGAGGGCTATACACAATGGGTATCAACTCAAGGCATACAATGCAACAACAACGAACAACGCATAACCAACAAAGATCCAACTCGGCAACGGGGCAAAGAGCGCTGCTGATAACACCCGGTCTTCTGCGATCCAAGTCGACGACGACTCCCGCGACGGTGCTTTTTTGTGCGACATATTACTGGATTATTGAGTACTGTAGTCTTCGTCGGACCGTGAAGTCCACCATCCCGAAAACGCCATTTGCTAAACTGCATGTCGTCGTAAAATCAGCTTTGATTGGACACCGTGCCGATTTCCTCATGGAGGTGGAGGACCGCCTGAGCCGCTTTCGGCCGATGTATCGCCTTCTACCGTCTTCTTCCACGCTTCCGGGAGGCAGACGCAGACCAGTGGGAAGGCCTTGATCTCGCCCGGCGGAGTAGGGGATTCTTCTCGAGTTGCCGAACCGTTCGACACACCACTGTCTCGCTGCACCTTATGCTTGCCATCATAGTCCTCTGCCCGCTCGTTGATCCGCACTCCCGTCGCCCAACCGTCATCCCAGATGCCGACCACTTTCAACATGTCACCACGTTCCAGTTCAAACTCGTCTCCCGCTCGAGGCTGATATGCCCATAACACCGAGACTTTATCTCCAGGATGAATATCGTCGTTAGAGTAGTAATCCTTGAAGAACGGCAACTGCTCCGATTGTCCACTGGCGACTCCTTCTGGAGATGAGAAGTCGCCAGGGGAAGATCCATGTTGTGAGTCGCTCCCTGGTGAGCCGTTAGCTTTCATCCCACCCATCCCCTTTTCGCGCGAATCTGGACTGTCACCGTATGGGTCGGTGTGGGATGTGTAATTGCGTGGTCCGATGGTGGGCCCGACACCTGGCTGGTCATCTTGCAGCGCCGACATACGAGCAACACGTCCGCCAGGTAAGACCTCATATCCTTGCTGCGTCATGGGTTGGTTGTAGGATGCAGATACGACACCCTTCCTCTGCGGCGAAGGTTGGTTGAGAACACTGCCTGCTTTGCTATGGTTATGCCTGCGACGGAAGCAAATGAAGCACAGGATGATCACGGCAAGTAGGATCAGAAATCCCAGGACAGATCCAACAACGATCCCGGCAATCGCCCCACCGCTCAAGCCACCACCTCCGTGACTAGCGACCGCTGTTGGACTCGAAGTAGGTGAGGATGTAGGGCTGGTAGAAGAGAAGAGGTTGGAAATGGTGGAGAAGACAGGGAGCGTAACATCCTGGCATCTGCCAGTCGCGTTGGAAGTCAGGCAGCACGAGTCTGTCCCATTGAGGGTACTTGAGCGACAGAAGCTGCACAGACCCATCAAATTGCTGCCAAACCCACAATTCTCAGGTTCGTTGGACTCGCCAGTGATACAGCTGCCACTAATAGAATTGGCGGGTAATGCACAGTTGGTGAAATCGGCTCGGAGTTCGTCCGCGTAGTCATTATTGCGACTAGGGCATAGATCGCTCGAGACAATTTGCTCCTCGCTCAATGCCAATTCGGCGCAAGAGTCGGCGCACAGAGGTTCGGAATCAGCCACAGATAGACCGCAGGGTGTCCGAGAATTCTGCACAATGCCATTGCAGAGAAAGCTGGTCGTATAACGGGCGTAATAGCTGGTGGTGTTGCCCAAATTCACATTGTCACAGCCAAAGATATTCACATATTTTGTCTGTACATATTGTTCATCGACATATTGAGATAACTGAGTATCGAAGCTCTCGGTCGACGTGACAAAGGCAAGAAAAGGACTGAAATAACGTTAGGGGTTTGGTCATCCTTGCAGCGAAGAAGGTCGGCGTCACTTACTATAGGGCAACTAAAGTAGCATCTGTTGATACCGAGGAAGAGTTGAAAGCAGGACACGTCTTCGAACCAGCCAGTGATATGCAGCTCTGCGCAAATACACTGGGAGCAAAAAGCGCCAATGCGCCCAGGGAACGAAGTTTCTTCATGCTCCTAGGAAAGATCGACCGTAAACAGTTGGTGAGAGGATTGGTCAACTCAGTCTTCCCAATGCGAATATCCAAAATGTGACCACCTCTTTCAGGTTCCAGCTCATGCTGAACTCGTCATTCTTCCCACAACGATCTGGCCGTCGTCGCGATTGGGCTTCCTCTACCAGGTGGCTTCCAGACACAGGGCTCGATGAGGATGGTGGGAGCTGGAAGCGAGGTCGTAGAGCTTTGACTGGCGGTTGAGAGGATCGAATCACGAGTGGAGCGTGTTAAAAGGAGTTGATCAAAAGGCTGAAACTGAAAGAAGCTGGTATAGTTCAAACGTGTCGATTGACGCAGAATGGAAGGACAGCAAAACGAGCGACTGTTGGTTAGAAGACTGTCGAAAAAGCTCCGGATAAAGAGAGACCCTGAGAGCGGATTGGAGGCAAAACAAAAAGCAAGGTGAGAAAATGCAGATGGAGGGAGGGTGGAAGAGGTAAGAGATCGGAGGAGCTGGCTGGCTGGCTACACACGCAGCCGTGATTGGGGGTTCAAGGGCTACCGGGGGGCCAGTAGTGGCTACTACAAAGTCCCTGCTGCAGCGAAAACACACAAACCTGGGCGCTTGCAGCCAGTGCAACTGCGACCTGCACCGACTTGCTAACGGACTTTGCTTGACACGCAGCAACGGGTGGTTAGTGCTGCGTGGCCGGGGCGATCGCTGACACCAAAGAGCCCTCGTTGATCGGCACATAGCGGACGACACCCGGGGCAGCTAGCCGGGCCAGGAAAGGCCCGAGGCCCTAAGCCTAGACGAGGCCCAGCCTCTTCGCGCCAGCTCACACCTTAAGCTTCTGCTTAGGCCTGCATGGGCCTGGCACCCAATGGTGGCTCCCGGCTAATGGCAGCGCTTGCCCTGTTCCTCTCAGTTGCAATTTCGCAGGACTCGCTTCATCTCAACATCTGCTCCTGCGACTCTCATGGCTCGTGCGTCTCCCTGATTGTACTTCTACCTCTGAAACAAGAACAATCTTCGCCTCTTCTCTGAGTCTTGGGGAGGTACAACTGCTCTGGAGAGAAAGTGTAACTTTTACGAACCGAAAAGTAGGTTCCGCAGGGTGTGAATGACTTCGGCATGCCACATGCAGACACATTGACCCTCCTCCAACACACCTCGTCTGCGCCTCCAGCCAATCCAGTGGGCAACATAACATCCGACCTGTACCTCCAACCGAGATTCCGAAACCTTGCAAGACTTGCGGCAGAATGGACAGTTTGTTTGAGGACGGTCTGAAGTCAAGATTCGATGGTGTTTGTGATGCAGTGGATTCCGCGGTGGAGGGGAAATTGCATGGCGCTGCGGCCACTCACGCCACGTCTGAAGTTATCCAGTCCACACCACGTTGAAGTATTAGCTGCGTGCTGGCCCATGCTGGCTCCATTCAGCTCGAACTGACCAGTGATGTTTCTAGGTGGCATTGTTGTGTACCTACAGTAGGTTGTCCTTCACCACCACGACCTTACGAGTACCTCCGTCCCCGCGAACTTTCTTCCACCACGCCATACAGACTTTTTGTTTTCCTTCAGGCCGAGCGCATGGCTTCAACGTGCCAACCTGCCTGCCAACCCACACGAACCTTCTCTGAAAAGCTACTCATGGTTGAACTTCTCGTCGGGCAGACCTTTGAGAATTTCATTGGATACGCGCATCCAACCCTAATGCAACCCCATGCTGCATGCTGATGTCAAGGTGCAGCTGCTCAGAGTCTGAGATGCAGGTACTCCATACTTTGCAGCAAACCCAGAGACAACTGTGGTCCTCTTCAATCCTGGGGTTGCACATCAAACCCGAAAAGGGAGTAACTACGCCTCAAGCAGTCAGAATATCCCATCCCGATACAGACTGAACCCCGCGGTTTCGGATGCATTGAAAAGCTACGAGGTCCAGACCTCAGAGACTGCCTTTACAGACTGCGGCTGGCGAACGTGCCCATCCCTGATGATGATGTGCATACTGGAAAGCACGGAATCCTTCGTCATTGTTGAGGACCCTACTAGTGCTCTTGAGGGTAGTCGCTGCAATGTTGACGATTGGGCTGCTCCAATACGTCGACAATACCTGTTCGATGGAATCATCGTTACCATCAGAAAGGAGTTAGCAATATCAACAAAGGGCTGCCTTGGCTGATCTTCGTATGTTAGCTCCGATGTGGCAGTTCGAATGTTTGCATACTGGTGCTATCTATCCCCGTATCATATCAACGTCATTGCCCAAGACATGGCGTATCTCTCTCCGTTCTAGACATTTCAGTGACAATGAGACCACACTGAACCTATCTTCCATTCTGGGAAGGAGTTTCTATCTATCCCTACAATCTCAGCAAAAGACCTTTGAGCCTTTGCTGACTGGTAATTTAATCCAAGAAGCTCGTATAATTGTCCCAGTTCCAGCGCAATTTACGAGTAGTAGGACCTGTAGGAAACCTCATTGCTACTTCCTCTGTCGTCAGCACCGTGACCGCTCTCGGTCGATACAATGAGTGATATACCAAGTAATAATATAATAGTGATACATGGCAGAACCCAGCACTTGGAGAATCTGCCTCTCTTTTTTCCCTTTCCTTTTCCCTTTTCCACCCCTCCATTCCGTCCAGTCAGTCAGTTTGTCCAGTACCCAGACTGCAACTCGGCCGTCAGAGCATAGTTCCACATTATTTGTTCGTCGTACATTCATTCATTCATTCAATCAATCGTTTAGTCGTTCAGTCGTGATTCGCTTTTGTGAAGAAAGATAAAAAAACCCCCCCTCCAAAATTGTTGTAGCAACGCTGTGGTTAAAGGCGCCCTTCGGCGCGGTGGGTATCGTGTCATACCGTGTCATACAGTGTCATATCGTGTCGTGTCGTGTCGTCGCAAATCATGGTATCGTGTCGTATGGTGTTTCATGGTGTCGTGATCGTGGTGGAAGTTCGTTCCGAGAGTATAATATGTGCGTGCGTGTGTGTGTGTGGCTGTGGTTGATGTTGTTGTGTACCTCGTGCTCGAGGTGATACTCGTGCTTTCTGCTTGATTAATATCGTTCTGTTGGGATCCATAAGTCCACCAAATGCCACCCCCAATGGTATCTTTTCTTCACTGTCCTTTCCCCTCCTTTGTTTTCCTTTGTTTCCTCGTCCTCCTTGTTCACCACGATAGATGATTAGAGAATCAAGACCAGCTTTGATTAAGGTGTCGATGAAGAGAGGTTCGCCTAGTCGAGGAAGATTCATTTGAATCTGATCTGATTTGAGTGGGGGTTGGAAGGTTGTGCTGCTGTTCGTGGCGGGCATAGTGATTAGATAGGAAGATTTCCTTTGTTTGGAGAAGACGGCAAAGTTCCTCCCGCGAAGCACCCTCTCTCCAGCTCAGTCCCTCTTTGTGCACATGGCCTTGAGCTTCTTCCAGCTCTTCTTCACAATGTCCTTGGTCTTGGCCTTTGCGCTCCTCAAACCGGCGCTCATCGTGGCCGTCGAGTTCGTGCCCACGTTGACACCAACAGAGGACGTCGCCCGCGCCGCCCGACTGGGTGGTCGGGGCTTGGTCAATCGTCTCCGCTGCGTCGAGGTCCAGCTGGCGTGTCGCCAATCCTTGCGGGTGCGCTGGAAAACCGGTAAAGGTGGAACAGGGCGGAGTATTCCCTCTTCCTCTCCGTCTTGTTCTTCTTCTCCATCACTGTCTCCTTCTTCCTCGTTGTGCGGTTCGCGGCCCTCAACCCCCGACGACTCATCGGATGACGTCGATGAAAAGTACGACACTTCGTGTGGAGCAGCCCATGTGATTGATGAGGGCGATACAGGTGGCGGAGATCGGACACAATGGACACCGTTGAAGGTGGGGCTATGGTCGTGTGTAGAGGGAAGCGTGATCGTCTCGGTGTCGTCTGGGAATCTGCGAATGGTCCCTTCTAGCGGTGAGGAATTGGAGTTGGCCGTGGCTATCGATGATGGACGGCCCGGTGGAAGACTGAATCGGACATGGCGACCTTCGTGTCGCTGGCACGGAGCTGTTGATGACCTGATAGAGGCCCGCAACAACTGTAGAGGGGGTGCTTGTGCCGAGCTTGGATCTTGCTCCTCCCCAGCGGCTTCTGGCGAGATAGAATTGAGCACTCCGGCGCTGGAAATGGTGACCAGAGTTGATCCCAGGTTGGGTTGAACTATGTTGCCCGCGATGTCCTCTTCCGCACCATCTCCATAGTTGAGTCCAGTAGGTATGGCACTTGCCGAGGTGGTATCGTCGTCTTCAACCTCGTAGGCGGAAGCCGCTCTTTGTAACGCAAGTGTCCGGCGGTAGTTTTGTATGCAAAAGCCTCGGATAACACCTTGCCAGAAGTGTTCGCCATTTGATTTGGTGGTTGTGGTGAGGCGGCTCCAAGCTTGGAGGTATGAAATCCTTGGGACGTTGAGTGTCACGGGTCTCCGATGCAGAACGAGTGCTGTTGAGGGCGACGCCTGATCCTGTGGCAAGGTGACGGTAACTTGAGGGGCGGCTTCTGTGGCATGATTCCCAGCCTCTCTATCACTTCTGGAGACATTACTTGTCCTAATAGCCGATCGGTCAACTCCCGACAGGATTCTCGTCGAAGGCACCGAAGCGCGTTGCACTTCAGCGGAGCCAAAATTTGCAGACAACTGATCGAAGCGCATGGCGTGACTTCGAACAAGACCAAGTTGCTGGCCAGGGAGCGTCATGGTGATAGTGCCGTTCGGAAATTGATGGACAACTGGTTGAGGTCCACTCGGTAAGGGACCTGTTGGTGTGAGCACGACAACTGGAGGATTGGACCTGGTGCTGAGGCCGTGATAACGAGGAGTTGGCGTAGGGATGCTGGGCGAGTCGACGAATGTTGGTGCCAAAGACTCTGGAGTTCCGACCAACGTCGAAGTAGGTGATAGAGCAATCGAATCGGCATGACCAAGGATGTGTCCAGCAGCCCGAGGAGTTACAGGGCTTAGAGGTTCTTGTGACATGGAGGATGTGGCGGCTGTTTGCATCGCTTCTTCGAGAGCGTCAAGACGAGCGTGTAAGCTGCTGGCCTGCGTGCGTATGGCAAACGCAAGAAGCTCTTCTTCGGACTCGTCGTCTGTGTCCAGTTCGGCACCCTGTTGACGAGCATATATCGCCTCGTAGTCTTGTCCTTGAGGCATGTCATCAAATCCATCGATCTCGGATTGTAGTTGATCGCCGACGGCACTTTCAGAGCCATCATTGCCGCTTTCACACTCGTCGTCAGTGACGGCCTTTGACTCGGCGTCTTCGTTGTCAGACATATGGAGAGATGTGTCGGGTGTTCCTCCGGGGCTGGCGCTCGAACCGCGCGATTGCTCGACAGTGGTAGATGTCGACGCGGAGCACACGCGACGATCATCATTGCCACGAAGGCTCTCCGCGTCTTCAACGCTGTGATCTGCAGATGGCTTGTTGTTGCCACTCTGCGGCTTTCCACCCTCTGTTACCAGTTCGGCAGAAGAGGCTCCAGATCCCGCCACTGGCAATGGAAGAGCCAGAGTATCGACGGGCTCTTGCTCCTCTTCTTCGTCCTCTTCCTCGTCATCCGCCCAACGAGCCGCAACAGGTCTGTCTTTTGTGGCGGTGAGGAGTTCCTTCCACTCCGCACGTGAAAGCGAGCGACTATTTGAATATCGCTCAGGGTTGAAGGTATCGTTTGAGGCCCCAGGGTTTGCGGGGACTGGCGTAGCGGTCGTGGCTGGTTGACTGACTGGGCGGTGTACTGAGTGGCGTAGAGGTGACGAAGCACCCTGTCGATTAGGGCTGAAGACTGGTGCTTGCTCGACGTCCTCATGTGTGAAACAAGAGCGACCAAGCCTTGAAGGCTGGCGCCCTTGGGCGAGCCTGGCACTGAATGCAGCCTTACGAGCTGCATCCTCTTTCTCCTTTTCCTGCGTGGCAGCAGTGATCATGTCGACCCGGTGTGCAAAGCCCTTCGTGATCCCATTGATCACAACGGACTCCCTAGGGTCAGGATAAAAACATGGGTCGAGAGGATCGGCCATGACCTTGTACTCCTCGGGTCCATAGTGGTCATGGACCCACCAGCCATGTTGGCTGTAAATCTTCTCGCTCTGGCCAATACAGGCATTCTCGAGACGAGATCCACGAAGGGTTTCCAAGGCCTCCTTGTTGCCATAGTAGCAGACAGGATCCAACAGCTGCTGAGCACATCCCATGATAGTGCTCTTCCAAAGCCCATTGGGGGTGGTGACGTTGAGGTGCTTTGGTGTTGACTTGAGAATGGCGATCGTAGTCGCCGGAGCTGTGCCCGACTTCGTGAGAACGGGTCGACCAAAGACGTTAAAGTGGTGAATACACTTCAAGCTCTGCAATTCCTCGAGCTCAAACCACTGGTAGTCGGACTGAGGATCTCTGATCATTTTCGGATAGTCCTCGTCCTCCTCACCGTCGATGATGCTGTCCCCGCGCTCAATGCCTCTATCCCCATCGTGCATGTACTGCACGAAGTCTCGTCTTGACGACTCACGTTCCTCCGGAGTCCGCTCTTCATATTCGACCTTCACCAAGGGGAACCTCTCCACATCCCGGAATGCCGCAAACACTGCAGGCGTGCGGTCATCACGGTTTGAAGAGGTAGGGTAGTAAAACCCCTGGACATACAGCGGAGATGCTTCTGCTCCATCTGATGTCATCTCTTCTTCCCTGCGTTGATGATATAACGCTTCAGCATCGAAATCAGCGTCGGCTTCGAAGACGTTGAAGAGTTCCGGAGTTGACGGCATGGTGACTGGTTGAGAAATTTGTGGTGTCAAGTTGCCGTGGGAGTGTTGTCGTTCGGTCGGGAGATATGTTGCTGATGGACGTGTGCAGGAGTTGCTGTCCTGCACACTCGGGACAAACTCCGCAGCATGAACGTTCAAGTGCGGCTCGATTCTATGCGCTGGTGCACCAGGCACAAATAGTCTCGCTTGGATGTTGAACGTTGGCGGAGAAAGTGTTTGTCGCGATGGGCATAGTAGGTCTTGGTCGCTACTATGAGTCCAGAGAGAGGGAGTATGAGCAGTGGGGGAGCTTGTATATATATATTCAGGGGGCATCAGCGAGCCTTGGGCAAGGAAAGGACCTTGTGTTGGTTCCTATATCACATTAGCTAACCCTTTTCGAGTGGTTGAGGGTCTCATTGGTTACCATTGCAGCCGAAGACGAAGAAGTGGAGTAAGTATAGAAGGTGTCCATTCAGATTGCTTCAAGACTTATGGTTTCAGTTTGACAGTGTGAGGACTTGGTTGTACCGTGTCAAGAGATAGTTAGATGGGTATCTGGGTCAGGTCAAAAGAAACCTTGGGATTGCTGAGAGATAGAAAGGTTGATGGTGAGGAAAGTTGGGATAGTTCAAGGGGCGCGTCGCGTCACACTGTCCAGCTGCCTAACAAGGCAAGACACAAGAGTATGCACTTGTTCAGATTGTTATGTGCCATCATATTCACCAGCGGAAGGTTGAAAAGGCCGCAGTGCTTGGGTCCGCGTGAAGCCGATCGCGACACTCTCGGATAGTGAATAAAGGGTCTTGGGGGATGGTCCAACTGCCTCCAGATACAAAGCATCCTCCATTCCAGTATTCAATTTTCTTTCTTCACGACAGACCGTTTGATTTTTGTTGTGCATGGGCTCGCACATGACGGGGATTGATGGGAAGTTTTGAGCATCCACCAACAGTCGCGTCGTACCATACATATACCCGATTTCTGTTCATCTCTCAACCTTCACCGGTTTCCATGTTAAGTGACATTTTGCACAAACTGCTGGCTTGGGGTCACGGCGACATTTGACAGTGTGAATCCCGCGTTTGCTGGGTGTGCATCCTCCACCCCGTAGTTTGGTTGATCTGGCACCTTGATGTAGGAGCACGCATGTTGACAAACCACCCTGTTTGTTTGACAATGGCTGCAGGGAGGCAGACTCAACAAAGATACCGGTGCAGCTATTGTCTTCATCATGTCGCTAGTACACTGGCTGGTAATCAAAGCGGACGGAGCTTGCTATTGCTGACATGGGACAATGGAAGGACTCTCAAGCTGTTCGACAGTCGGAGATCTCACAGACCAAACCATGGGAGGTTGGTTTTCCATCAATTCTGAAATGTCTGTATAAGTTAGGATCTTGAGGTTGTGATATCTACAGTACTTAGCACATTGGTTTTCTACATCCATGTCTCAGTTCTGGCCCCTTATGAGTTGTCCTGGAGCACTGGGAGACACGCTGCTTTTCAGGGAGTTCGGATGGGCCACAAGAGCTGCTTCAAGCCTGAGGAACATTCACAGGGAAAGGCCTGAGTAAGAGGTATTTGTTAAGCATTCAACTGGCACGAGGGAGAGGAAAAACTTTGTTGATGATTGATGAAAGAATGTACGAATGGTTGGTTAAAGTTGGATGTTGTGGTGTTCTGACTTTGGGTGGAAGTGGCCCGTGCGCAGCCAACATTCCACGAGGCTCGCCAATCAAGACTCGACAAAGAAACCCTTTGTTGAATAAACTTTCCAAGCAGCCAAGAAATCAAATGTAGAGACAGAAATGGATTATATGCTCTCTTCAGCACAACAATGGCACTTCTCTTCCGTGTCTTGTCTTGTCTGACAATGTCCTTCCTAGATTCTAGACATCAAAGAATATGCAACTCGCCCACCAGCAATCCCTTTAGATGATTCCCGACCAACCCACAGCTCTGCGATTCCCTCAACTTGGCTCACAGGAGACTGCCATGATGTAGTAATATTCAGAGAAGCATGTTCCCAAGTGAGTATTGGCCGGGTCATCAATTCTCAACGACCATTCTCCGGTACAATCGGGCTGCATCCACATTGTACAAGCTCCTGCGCACATCCCCTGGATTAGCCCCTGATAGTGACAGGGGGACGACAGTAATCTGGTAGTGCTCACCAAACCAGCTGGAACATTCATTTGTCCACACATTCTTCATCCCAGTTGCAAGAGGCATGCACCCAGTGGTGGGTGGATAGACAAGCTGTTGATAGCTGACATCCTCGCCGCAAATCTGCCATCAGCCGTTAGCCTGTTAGCAAGCGAGTGGGCTGAGAAGACAGAGCATCCTTCCAGTGTCATGCCAACCGTCTTGCAGAGCTCAATGAGAACTTACAGTTGGGCTGAAATCCCAGATACAGCTGTTAGAACCGATATCGGTGATGTTGGTGACGGGGAATGGCATCGCCGTGCTGGTCAGAACTTGCAAGGAGAGGATGCTAGCAAAGATGCTGATGAAGCGGTTGAAAATGAGTTTGAGCATCGTGATCTAGGAATCTGCACAGCAGTGCTTTTTTCGTCGATGTCGAAATAAGATATGAGGTCGGACAGGCACTCCAGAGATTTGAAATGTCATACGTTACAAAGAAGAGCCATGGCGTACCATATTCATTTCTCCAGTACTCGGAATGGCTTCTACGACCTCACTCGTAGTGATTTGTCCAAGGAGTGTGGCCAGGAGTTCACTTATAAAAGGCGAACAATACCTCTTCAAACCACAAAGTGACCCCGTCGACTGGCCTCGTAGCGCATGAGACACGGGACTCCTCGAGCACAAAGGCGAACGGGGGGGAGCCTGGCCAACGTCTGCACAATTAATTGTGAGTTGATATGATCGATTCGATCGAATGTGTGTTGAGTGGGCGGATCCATGATACGAGACGATTGCGGTTACAGCTCGACCTCTTCGCAGCGTTTGGCGATTGGGATTGTTTCAAAAGTGACGTCGAGATTCCCGCCTCGACTCCCCCGCCGACTGCATTATTTTCATCAAATCTTGGAAAAGAACCTGGTCAAACACTGAACAGGCTTGGCCCTTCTGACCTTCTGTCTGCTTTGTCCTTGTCTGTCATGTCTGCCTGGTATTCTTCTGCAAGCTCGGCCCTTTTCAACCCTGCCTGGTCGCGATTGAAAACGACAACCTCGGGCTGTGCGTATGTACGACGAAGCCTTCGGCAACCCGCATGGCACACATTTCATTCTCGAGTCCTCACGATCTAATCTACAGTCGCCGTCTTATACCCATTATATGTCTCTGTCAAATCCCAGTCAACTTCAAGTCCCTGGCCTCCACAACGCCATGAAAGCGTAGACACCAATGCCGCTCGCCACTCAAGAGTCAAGCAAACCTCGAGCAGAAAAGAGTGTAGCGAACCCAGGGCAGGGATAGGCAGATACCATTTCCAATACGTCTTCACGCAAACATCTTACACATGGATCTGTCTACGACAGATTCGATGGATTCAAAGAGTTTTAAATGCTTTCGATGCAGGTTACCGTCAATCCCAGACCTCGACATTCGCGTGGAGGCACATGGCAAGGACATTGCATGTCCACATAGAGCACCCGCCTCGCATGCATTTTACATGGTCCACATCACCTGGAAGCGAACTCGACATTCCCGACTGGCTGGAGATGTTGGCTCAACGATTGAAGAGCAGCTATAAATCAGCCGAGTCGAATGTCCAGGTTTGTGGGTTGACGGTGCTGCCAGTCGATCAGCACTTCGTGTGTGTCCTGGACTGATTTCCCTTTGAATTCACATTTCATCATCCCGAATTTTGATTGCTTCTTGGGCATATCCCTTTGCTACCCGCCTTCTTCTCGGTTTCCGTGACGGCTTTGCCGTGTCTTGCCGCATGTGCCTAGAGGACGTCCAGTTTACCACAACAACGGTATTTATATCGCTAGCACAAGAACTGACACCTGAACCTGTTCTGTCTCAACTGCCATTGTCCCAAAACTAAGCCGCCTCAACATCAGGATTCCCGCTACAGCGACATGTCTGCAGTTCCGTGCTCGCATTGTCACCTCACAACACTCGGGCTTGGTGGACGGGGGGCTCATCTGGTTATCCCATCAATAGTTGCACCTATTTTGGCCTTTGTGCTCGTGGCAAATCGGATCTATTGGCGTATGAGGATGCTGGGCAGACTCGGCTCGGATGATGTGACGACCATCCTCGCCTTGGTAAGTTAGCGTGTTAAGACATGTTGGATGCCGTCTCACCACTTCGCAGGTGTTCCTTGTCGTCCAATGCGGTGCTTCTGTTGCAGCGGTGGACTATGGATATGGCCGGCCATTTGACCTCATCAGTAAACAACAAGCTGAACAGGCATTGAAGGTAGGACTGGACTCTATATACTTCGGCTGATGACTCTGACATTGGCAAAGTGTTTCTTTCTGCTCCAGATATTCTATAAGCTTACCATCAACTGCACCAAGCTGTCGATGCTCTTCCTGTATCTCCGCATATTCACCGACCGCATCTGGTTTGTTCGAACCTGCTGGATTTTGGTCGCCCTTGTAATTGGTGCTTGCATCTCTTTCACCCTCTCAACCGTTCTCCAGTGCTCTCCGATCTCGCGGGCATGGGAGCGCTGGCGGATTGATGCGAGTTGTGTCGACATCTATGCTCTGTGGTATAGCAACGCCATCTACAACATTCTGACAGATTTTGTCATTGTCTTAATGGTGCCGCCAGTTATATTCAAACTCAAGTTGCCGTTGCGGCAGAAATTGGCTCTGACTTGTGTCTTCGGGCTGGGTCTGATTGTGTGTGCTGCATCAATTTCACGATTGACAACGCTGTACTCTTCCGCCTATGGCGGCGACATTACCGCTGGGTCACTTGTGTCAACAATCTGGACCACGATCGAGGCCGGGTTGGGTGTCATCTGTGCCAATCTGCCCATGATACGAACGCCGCTTCAACATTTTTTCCCAAAATTGTTCCCTCCAAGGACTGGAACAGATCACATCCCTAGTACAATTCCTTCTCAACGAAGTGGCCAGGTCAGCGGCGAAGCACTAGCTTCTCCCGCAAGACTGATTCCGCCACCCATTCCTGTACGCAAGACAAGCCTTACAAACCAACCACGGGTCGGTTGGATTTCAGAAGCCAGAGGGATGCAGAACCGAAGTAGGCTGCACGGGGACATGGTCAAACTGCAGAGCAGCAGCAGACTAGCACATTGCCAGGACCTTGAGATTCAGGCAGGATACTCTGACTTCTCGAGCCATCCAGAGGTTGGTTTGGCACGGACGAGAGAAGTGGACTGGTACGCAGAACAGCAGCAAATTTGGTCACCGTAAATTGGTCATGGCTAGGTACAATTGATCTGGGTGGAAACATTATGACAAGTCGAAGAGCTGGATAGTGGGAACTAGTCAACAACTTCCTAGAATTAATAGCAATGTCTCGCGCATCTGATCTGGAAGGGATTGTCAAGGTCGGACAGAAGGGCAGCATCAAAATAAACTCCTGCTCGAGAAGTGACCACCAGCAGCCAATCAGTAGACATGCCAAGTCGACTCGGCGAAGTTGCCACAATAAGCGTCTTGGCTGCGCATCGATTGGCAACGATCCTGATCCTGATGGAGGAGCTCCTAGACTCAGGATTAATTCATTCAACAGCTTCAGTACCCTTCTACAACACTGTCGGAGGCATTTGAGTCCCATGTAAGCTGTCGAGAAAAACCTGGCGTCCACGAAATTGACCAAAGAACTCGAACAGCTCGAAATGTCGTTCGTCATCCGCCGAGCCGTGTCAACCCTGGTTCCTCCGAAGGTAAAACCTCGACTTTGTATCTCTGTTCTGCTACCAATCTGGATTTGCTGACTCGGATGGTATAGGTTGCCAACCCAGAGGTAAGAATCTCATCGACTGTTTGAACCCTCTCTACCGAGCATTTTCTGCGCGCATCGAGCGAAGTGGCAGCACGACACGTCCTCGACACCTGACACGCTTCACACTGCTCACGAACAGCATCGCTTTTGATGAACAAGATCTGACGGATGATTGCAGGGTATCGGAGCTGCCAAAAATGCCGTCCGAATGGCGAAAATAGCCAAATTCTACGAAAAACTACCAAAAGGACCTGCGCCAGCACGAGCACCGAGTGGACCGCTAGGGTGGTATCAGGCAAAATACTTTGGCAAGAATCCATCAGCAGCTCGTACGTCTCGTCCGCGACACTCGGCTGGATAGAACATCGTTGAATGGCTAATCTTGTGGCAACAGCTATCTGGCACGTTATTTTCGGGATCATGGCCATGGGTTACAGCATGGAATACTATTTCCATCTGAGTATGTGCTGCCAGACTAAAGTATCAAAGCCGGTCTTGACTAATTGCGCATGTAGGACACCACAAGAACAATGCCCACTGATCGATACTGCATTGAAAGGAGGGTGGTCACTGTACATAACACCAAAATAAACCTGTTGAACTCGTGGAAAGGCACATTATCAAGACCTATTTGCTATCAGACCACTTTCCTTCCAGGTCGCTTCTTTGATTTCTCTTTTGCACCTGTAGCTCCGTGCCAGAATCTCAGACCCTCCATAGAGTTCTGAGGGTATGAAAGACTCCGTTTGCGATACCCTCGTAAATGGTGAGTCAGAGAATTGCGGTCGCGGTCTGCGTCTTTATGGCCCTCCTTTCCCAGACAATAGCCAAAAGGGCACGGCGTATTCGGCGAATGTAGAGATGGGATAGTACAAGTAATGAAATGGCTTCTGAGGACGAAGTAAAACCTTTGCTGAATGGCTGAAATGCGGCTGCTGTACAAAGACGAGCGCCAAGGCGAGGTTGCCGCAACCCGACACGACGGGCCGTCGACTTCAAAGGCGCAGCCTCTCCTATCTCAACTGACTCAACAACCACCATTTCTTCTTCTTCCACACCCTTGTACCCCCTTTTTGAGGTGTTGTATTACTTCTTTCGCCTCTCCTCCTCAAATCCCGCATCGAGTCCCCTCCGCGACCTCAAAGCGCAGTCGTGCGTTGACGGGCAAAAACCGACAGGCTAGCAACCGTGGCAGACTACGCGCAGTAACAGGTACCCTCACGCCACCGAATCAATACGAATCTGGCACTTTAACAATTCTTCCCCTTTGTCTAGATCCGAGTTTGTTATGGCAGAGCAGAGAGCACAAGATGTGGTAAACCAATCTCAGTCGGTGGGCGATCTCTCGCCTTCCGACGTACCTGCGACCACATCTACACCTGATATCAAAGTTCCCGGGGACGATATTGGTAGGAATAGTGCTGTGGTGGAAACAGAGGTTGCGCCAAAAGAGAATGGAATCCATACAGTGTCAAGTCTCAAAATGGAAGAACTTGAGGATGGTTCTGCTCGCTCAGACACAGATACGAGCCGGGCCGAGGGGAGTGTCGCTGGTGACAAAGTCACGGAGCCAAAACCTTTGAAGAAATTCGCTGCCAAACCTGTCAGCTTTGCAAAGTATTCGGTCCCCAAGG